AATATTTGGTAGATTTAGAGTATCATCATGTTTAATTGTTTAAATGCTATTTTTCCACTTTACTGATTTTTGATTATTAAAATAGTGGTTTTTATTTAAGAGCCACATAAATTAAAATGGAGCTTATCATGGCGAAATTTCCCTAAGATGACCACTCATAAAGGGTACTGGAGTTTACTATAATAATTATAATTAATAAAATAAACAAATATTGGTATTAAACGTCACTTTTCTGAAACGACCGCCTCCACAAAAGATCACAACTATCTGGAATTGTTGATAACGTCTTAGGAGGAGATCACTGTAATTACAAATAAATACCTTCAAGGAATTCTCACTTTTGAATATTTCACTGCTGCGTAGTTTCATAAAGCAAAATTTGCATTTTTTATTTCGCGAATCTAAACATGGTATTTAATTTTTAAATATCTAGATGAAACTACAAGAATTAAAAAAAATCTATTTTTAATGGAATTTATTTGCTGTTTTGAGTATGATTCTTAAACATTTTACTTCAGAAGGTGGTCCGCTAGACTGGTAGGCAAGTGTTTTGACATTATAGTTCATGAAGCTAATTGACAGCGCCTATCTTAATTCTTTCGTATATTTATTTGCTTCAAAAATGTTGAACCTCACGACTGGTAGACATCACAGCTATTGAAAACACCTCTATTAATTTTTTTTTTTTTTTTTCCTTTTAAGGGACGTCATATTTTTATAAAATATTTTTCCTTAATTAAAACTGAACTACGTATAAAACAAACTATAATAATTATGTACAGTCATTAGATTATTTTGACGTTAGAGACGTGAAAAATGAGCAATGCCCTTCGCAGGGACTCGAACTCGAACCTCTTGAATACTCGCCGAGTGTGCTACCGTTACACCACGAAGACACGCAGAAAGAGGGAAGAAAATACCTTATACACTTCTCCTTTTAAAGAGCGACTGGGTATTAGGGGACCCAATCGCCAAATCCTGGTGGTGAAGAATCATCATCCATCACCTTTTTTAGTCTGGGCGCCATTGTAGAGTCATTGGGGTATTTTGAAGCAGAAAATGTGAAAAATGAGCATTGCTCTCTCCAGAACTCGAACCTCTCAAAAAAGAGCCGAGTTTGCTACCGTTACACCGCGAAGGCATGCTGGAAGAAGGGAGAAAATACGTTATAATTATTTGAAGAATTCTATGCTATTCTGCCAATCAACCGCGTTACATATAATTGAAGTAGCTTGTAAAATGTATTGTATAAAATATTCTAAGTTATTTTCAATAGCTCAGAAATGTGCATGAAATATGCTAATTTTAAAGTTATCGAGAAAGCTTCCGCTGTTTCTATGACGCTCTAATTTCTTTCCCGTCGCAGTCTTGGAACAATACGAAAAATTTTTGGAGTGCCTCAATTCGTTGTGATTTAAATTACTTTGTCCTCAAGAGACAATTTTCTAGCTTTATTTCTTAGGTTAATACAAACTGGTCAAAACCAGAAAATGTTAAGTTTTCGACTGCTTAGACTTCTTAACTTTAGACTGTAACAGTCAAGAAGAAATTTATGCATAACTTTTGAAAATATGTATCTAAAGAACGAATATTGCGAGAATAGTGGAGTTAAGATCCAGAGATAGAAACGTGGAAGATGACACACAGAATATTATTGATTGTCCTCAGTTCTGAAGATAATTTGAAGGATTTTAAAGCTGAAAAGCTGCATTATCCATTTAGAAATTCGTCATTGACAACAGGAATGTTCTCCCGTGGTAATATTAGACCCCATGTTGAAAGCATGATCTTGGAAAACCTTCAAAAGTTGATATCTTAGCCCATTCTCCATTTGCTCTCGATTCATGACAAACTAATAAAATCAACTGATTTCTTTCGACTTCCTGAAAGAGAAATACTTTTGAAAAAAAACGAAGAAAGTTGAACATCTCTGAATTATAAGGAAGCATGCCTTTTACTTCCGAAAGATAAATTTCTCTTGGCATACCATGTAAAATATTAACTGAATATCATAGCGCCAATTTTGATTAAAAATATTAAATCAGTGCTGTTTTATAAAGCAGAAGTTCAGAACACCTTGAGAGATACTAAAACAGTTAGAAATGCTCATAAATTTCACACATTTAAATTAACAGTTAAATTTGTAGAGACATTAGGTTATTTCGGATGCAGGAGAGATATGAAAAATGAGCAATGCCCTCGCCGGTACTCGAACCACGAACCTCTAGAATACGCGCCGAGCGTTCTGACCATTACACTACGAAGGCATGCAAAGAAGGCGGGAGAAATAGCTTATAAACTTACTGAAAACTTTTCAATGATGCAATGTTGATTGATTGAAATATTACCATACAGCTCAGCTTTCAAAACGATCATCAAGAAATTATTTATAACTCATATTATCCAGACACTGGACTTCATACGTGACTATTTCTTACACAATTCACTTGTAACCATTTCGACTAAATTCGTTGAGGTATTAATTGTTATGAAAAGAATTATAAGCTTTTTATTATCTTAATAAAATAATTTAAAGCATTAATTACTATACTAGAGAGTTGTAAGGTATTTAGTATAGTAATGAATGCCTTACCATTTTAGTTATAGATTGTTTTGACAGCTCTTTGATCATTCTCGTGGGTGGATACGTAAAGCTGTATACCTAGACTAGCTGTTCATTAGGGACTACACACTCCCCAACAAACTGAATATTAGACATTTCAAATTTCATACAACTGAGCATTTTATCATTTATGCCACTGAAAAACATTCCTCCTCTCACGCTTCAGAAATCCCAAGCTAAGTTTCATTTCCTTTCCAAAAACATTTTTTGTTGGTTTCAGGTTTCCTTGAATTATATAATAAAGAAAATTTGCAAAACTTTCAGTTCCTGGTATATGCTTGCTTTCTTAAGAAATGTCGATCTATGTATTTTTTTATTTAATAACGGTACATTTCTTCCTTCCACTTAAATGGACGCACATTAATTTGAAATTACATGTTATCTAAAATTAGCAATAATTGTTTAAATAAAACTAAGAACGTAAAAGTCTGAAATGAAAGTAGAAACTTTTCTAGGATAATATGTCTGTCTTTATAATGAATTTGCAATGAAATGTCTATGGAAATACGCATCAAATTATATTCTTTTTTTTTATAAACAATAATTTTAATTCATTTTCATAATTTTATAACCATAAATTATCTTTAAAAAGAGGCAGGGATCACAAGTAGCACGGACGGGAAAGAGAGGGGCTTTACTGCAAGAATCAATACTCCTTCAAAAGTGATTTTTTTTTTAATTCTTAGTTTTTGCCTTAGTTTGAAAAAGAGCTTAACAGATAAGACTAAGAACGTTAAAACTTTAGTTTGAAAAATTCGTAATAAACAAAACATTTGCCATCAGTGGATCCATTTGTATCTCCAAGTTCAGGAACTCAGAAAGATCAGGAAAGGCCTTACCTTGAAGAAATCCATAATAAGTAAAATATTTACCATCAGTAGGCCAGGAGATAATGTGTTTATGTGTGTGTGATTATGGCAAAGCCTCGAGGGCTATCTGCCTAAGGGGAGGGATGCCTTCGTGGAGGACTTTCTAAAGGGAACTGGCTCGTATACACGTTACACATGGAGAACCACGAAAACGCCCATGCAGCCAGCCCGTTCGCGGGATCCGAACTACCAGTGTTCAGCGACTTTACCGCTCGGCCGCTGGTGGGCTGCCAGGAGATAATAAACAGGGACGGATGCATTTATGTCTAACAACAACCTCTGGAGCGGCTGTACAGTATTTTAAGTACCCTCAATGTCTCAAAGATATAATACATTTATAAGTAATCTTCTTGGAGATTTGAACCTCGGTTTTTAAGACTAGGTAGAACCTTACTGCCAAGACTCTCATACCACATCCCAGCAGGACGACTAAAACTAATATTCAGTTAACTAGTCATAGTAAAAGATCTCTGTCAGTTTTAGGGAATAAAATATACATATATCATTATTATTATGAATTTTTAATCTGAATTTCATTAAATGGTTAATATTCAGCTTTTATAACAAAACAAAACAAAAAGGGATAGCTTTAAAGATGTTGCGGACCGTAAACTGGAAATCAAATGTGGAGTTCTCACTTTCGGTTCAGTAATATTGTAAATAAATTACTAAAACTTACCCTAATCGAAAAAGGTAATGATTGTTGTTGGGTGGTCTGCTTGCTGTCGTATGAAAAAAAACATCATGAATTTATAGCTGTTTACTCAGCATCGAATTTTGCTCTCAAAGTGATGAAATATCTCAAGGAAAGCACTTACAAAAAGACAAAAAGGAATATCACGTAATCAAAACATTAATTTCTTAAATCGTGTAAGAATTTGATGCTAACTTAATGAAAATGTTATATATTTAAATCATAAAAGTTCTATTAAAATATTTTGAAACTTCAAATGTTATTTCTACATTGGAAACAAAAGTACCTAACTTTATTTTCGAAGTAATACTTGTAGAGAAAACAAAACAGCATAGTTTCAAACTTCAGTCATAGGGAAGTAACAGTACTCACAGCCTATAACCACGAATTTCCAAACATTTAACTTTCCACCAAAGCGAAATTTTAATATCTATCCGCACACTCGAATTTCACTAGCCCAATAAAATGCAAATACGAAAGCTTTACTATTGTTGATATGCGCATTATTACATCATAAACATTGTTCCCTGATTCAATGAATGTAATAAAGAGTTTTCTGAGTTAAATAATGTGATGCTAACAAAAGAGACTGCCTGCCCTTGGCCTCTGCACTTTCCTCCCAGAATTACGACCGGCGTTTTATCAACTCTAAGCAACCGTCCATCATCCCAAACGAGTCAGAAATTCTTCCGATTTCCAACTCGGAGAATCCAGAATCTGTTTGTCAGAGAAAGCAATCAGCAACCTTGAAGAAGGCTAAAGGCGAGGGTAGTTAGGGGTAGGGGGTGCGAACCCGCTTCGAGGTACTGGATGGACGGACTGGTTCTCCAGCCGACTGGAACTCCGTATAAAAAAGGTTGATGGCTGAGTGAGCTTGCAAGAGCCATACCATCTCAGCAGTGAAAGTGTCTCGCGGTTTTTTACCGGTTCTCCAGCTTTTCTTTTCACTTCAAGTCACTTCATCTGGTGAGCCATCGGTCTTTTCATATTTCTAAATCATATTATTTGTCACTTTTCTATCTTCTAATTACATTGTGTTAATATTTTATGTATTCTACTGCTATTTATAACAATAATAAATTTTTAATAAAAAATTGAAAAATTGTAATTAGTATGCTAGAAATATGTTAAGAAGTTTAAGAAAATGTTTTTATAAAACACAAGCAATTCAAAAATCTGACATAGCAAAAATTAGTCTTAATGCATATAGCTATATATCTAGTTCTGATATTTTTTTTAAATTACAATGCACTTATTTTTATTTCATATTCAGAAAGAGAACAAAAAAAAAGAATAAAAAATTTTGTTTTTATTAGATACTAATAAGTTTCCGATTCTCTAACTAATCGAATAACCGAAAGCGTGAAACTTTGGTACGGTAAAAGGAATAGGAGAATACTTAAAATTATTCCAAGTTTAAATGAAGGTGGAGGAATTATTTTATTGTTTTATTTTACGATATGACTCAAACTTTATGCAACAATGAATAGTAAAGTTAACTTCCAAACTGCAGTATACGCAATGGTTCGGGGGAAAAAAAAAAAAAAAAAAAAAAAAAAAAGCATATCAGCTGAGCGTTTTCACACCACACTCTTTTTTTTTTTTTTTTTTTTTCTCTCTTTGCCTTTTCTAATATAAGATTCGACAGAGATAGAAATTTAGTCCTGCTTAGGATCTCTTCATTCTACTTTGACAACAGATATGACTAGGGTACTTAACATTAAATTTTTATTTCTCTTTATTTTAAGTTATCAGTTTGATTTTGGATATTTAGCAAATCATTCGGAGTAAACCTACAATCAGTCGTATGTAGTATAATATATCAGACAGAATACTAATACTCCTTAAGATGTAACGAGCTGCTATCGGATATGAAGTTTAGAAAAGAAATATAGAAAAAAAGTTCACATGGTTATTTTTGCCTGTCATTGCTATTTAAAAATATGAAAACTAATTAAACCCTCCAAAGTGAAGAAAGTTTTACATAAAATGTCTTATTTTATCTATATATATATAATTTATTTACTAAAGAAATACTTGATTATATTATTACCTCCTAAGATTAATTTAGTAGAATTATCTTAAAAGAGTGAATCCATAGTTAGTAAGTTCAATTCCGAAAATTGTTTTAAAGTAACTTGAATGTAAATTGTTAAAAATGTTTAACGGGGACTTGAATTAAATCATGAATAACAAAATTTCAATGTAAAAAGAAATAAATCAAAAGCAAGTAATTAAATTAAAAGCAAGTAATCATTGCCATTGATTGGAAATGTATCAATGGAAATAATTACTTGCTTTTGTAATTACTTGCTTTTGATTTATTCCTTTTTACATTGAAATTTTGTTATTCATGATTTAATTCAAGTCCCCGTTAAACATTTTTAACAATTTACATTCAAGTTACTTTAAAACAAAATTACATTCAAGTTACTTTAAAAAATATGCGCATTTTCTTAAAACTTTATTAAAAAAAATCCTTTATGTCATATATTTTAAACAATATCTTACTCTGTCTACTGAATTTATTACCCAATTATTCTCTTTCATAATTATTTCGTTCGTAAATAGTGGCACCAACAGCACATAATTAAAAACCTTTACAGATGAGGATGTAAAATAATTTTCGAGGGATGTATTAAAAGTTTTAGGAATACTTGGAGTTCTGGTTGAATTTCTTCTGAAAATAACTGGTATGTTAAAATTTTCTGCTAAATATACAACTACACTTTCATAACCATTTTCCGTTTCCTTTATATTAGTGCTACTATTAATTATTTTGTATTGTTTAATAGTTTATTTGGGAAGTATTATTACCCTACCTGTGGAAATACAAATTCGACCTTTTGTGTACTTGAAAGGTTACAGTTATTACGAACTACGGTGTTACTGAAAACTACGATAAACTGCATTTCAGGACTTTTAATCATTGTTATCATTTGTTAAAAGCAAACCAGCTTGCTGAACAAAAATTATTTTATTTTCTTTTAGTTTCTCTATACTGCAGAAAGTAGTTTTAAAAATGATATCAATAATTATCATGTTGCTTTAATTTGTCTATGCATGCAATGAATCAAGATCATAATACTTGTAATTAACACAGTAATAAGCATTTTAGTTGAATTGACATTTCTTTCTAGCAAGAGGATTATCTAAATCTTTGCTTTTCTGACGTAGCAAAGCTTTCAGGAGGGAAAAACATATACAACGGTTAAACAATAACAAATTTTCCGAAGAAAAACACTTTTTCTTTTAACACTAGGGATATTTCCCAAGCATATATAGTTTTAGGAATTTAGGTATATTTTATTTTTTCAGTTTTCATCACTATCACAATGAAGTTTTTCAACACAATCCTTATTTAATTTGCACATATCTCAACGAAAAACTATTTTTTTTAATCACGTCCTGAAGGAACTTTTTCGGCGTTTCCTCAAGCCGCCTATTTATGGTATGGTTAAACTCTCAAATAAAACAGGCCATAAAGTTTCTTAATTAATTGTGGAAACAGAATACTCTTCACAGACGTTGAACAATTTTTGAAGTTTTCATATTCTCTTTTCACAGGGAGAAAATGCTTGTTCTTAGTTTTTTTTCATAGTTGCAAAAACAGTACTACAAAATGCGCCTGTATCAGTTTAACAACTGAATCATACTAAACAATATTGCGTGGGCTACATAAACATGTCAAGACTTGTCTCTGGTCAATAACGTTGCCTACAGGTTCTAGAAATTGAACTAGAGCTAGTTCATAAAGCTTTGGAAACACCCTATTATAATTAATATAATGGATTGAATGGAATACAATTTACCTCAAGAAGCTTTCTAAAAGAATTCATTACAAATTTAAGTTCTCAACATAAGAATTGGAATATTTTTCTTTGTTTAATTTTTGCTTTAAAGAAGGCAGAGTGACACAGAAAACTCTGATGCTAAACATTCCAATAGAACAAGTCAATTTCCAAAGTGTTTAAAATATGCAATTCCATTATAATTTTTATGACATACTTTGCAACTATTAGACAAATGTTCACTACAGATAAAAGCAGGGCTTAATTTCAATCACATAATATAGTTTCTAACACTTTTTCATTTTAGTTAACACCCAAATAAATCTTTTAGTGAACAATTTTCTTTCTTTGCGTACATTTTTTTATTTGTTTGTTGACTTAAATAAAGGATAGCATAAACGATGGCTATCTGCTCAAGAGAAGGATAACCAATGATTTAAATACCCTTGTTGCAGACATACATTGGTCAGTTAGTAAAATTGGATTTATGGTGTCGCAAATATATTCCACAATGTTCCCAAATAACAGCTTCGTTTTTAAAAAGAGTAAGCATATTATATATCTTAAGCTCAAAGTTTCTCAAACTTTCACGTCAAATGGACTTTTAACTACATAAACCCATCATTATCAGTCTGCATTTATAGACTCAATATAAACATAAAATATCTCTATAATTTCTTTATTGGTGTAATAAAGCTCTTGCTCGATGAGTTACATTTGCATTATTTAAAATCAGAATAAGCTTATATAATACAGGGTGATTCAAAAGTACCTTGCAAAAATGTGAAGACTGTTACATCAGAAGATTTTGCAGTGGAATGTGTGTGAGGAAATGGCGTGTTAAAGTGGTACACGGCGTTTTCGAACATAAGATAAAAGTCTCCTGCGGGCGTAAACCGTTATTTTCCGTGCCAATATCGAGCAATATACATCGATACGCAAACATCGAGTTTATCGGCATGTATTTTATCTATGAAGCTGCGGATGGTAACGGAACAGTTGCTCAAAAGAAGTACTCAAGAATGTTTCTGTGTACCTCCTTTGATTGTCTGCTCCATTCTCTAGCCACAGCCCCATTGATAAAATGCATGTCGGGACTTCCCAGCTCGTACAGCGATACGTACCTATTGAGATTCATTTGAGAAAGGCTGTTTAATTCCAATCGGTCCCCTCTACCTGTGTTTACATGTCTGCCAAATATTTTTTAATCACCCTGTGTAAGATTCTTACAGTCCTTCTAACTTTGCAGCATGAAAATAACAGAAAAAAGCGTTTTTAAAACGTTCTGCAAACAGCACATTCAAATTAATATATGTATATGTCTACATCATTTAAAAGTACGAAGAAAAATCAAAAGGTAAAATCATCCAATCAAATATTTTATTAGACTACTGTTCATGTTATTTCAGTTTGGAAATTTTGTTTAAACATAAAGCTTAGACTGAGAGAAACGAAATTTTTTTAGTATCATTTTATTCCTTAATAGCATAATTTTTTATTTGAATATGCTGGGACTTTTTTAACATTCATTCAAATTTAACTTAGCAACTTTTAAAACTGTAACGTAAAATACAGCAATTGCTTAATATATTTCATTTCCTTTATTTGTATTTATTTAATTTAATAATTTATTTTAAAAAAATCTTAAGCTTATTTTAGCTGAAGATAAATATTTTTTTATAAACAGACATTACTTAGAAAGTAATCCAAAATTCATCTTAGTGGGTCACTTGGTTATGTTAATGTTCAGAATTCACTCCATGCCTATCTTTATTACGCTTGACTTCCTACTGAAGTTGAACAGATTATGAAAGTCCGTTATTTGAGATTCCAGTTACAGTTTCTGTTTCTAGCAGCTGGGTAAATATTACTCAAAAACTGTTGTATAGTCAAAACTCGATAATACGCTACTTTAGAAACTGAATAAAAGATAACATATTAATCAGAATAACTTTTAAAGCAAAATTAAAAAGTTTTAAACTGACCCTTAGAATATTTCTTTAAATTCAAACTTTGTCTACAAAATAACAGAAAATACACACATCGTTTTTGCCTGTTTTGGGTACATGATTAAAATGTTTTTGGAAAGTTGAAAAAAAAAATGACGTAATAAGCTGTACTGAACATAGGTCAACTAACAGAAAATAGGAAATATCATGGGATTTAGCTACGTAA